TCATGCACGTTTTATTACAAAATGTCATGCACGTTTTATTACAAAATGTTATGCACGTTTTAATACAAAATGTTATGCACTTTTTAATACAAAATTTTATGCACGTTTTATTACAAATTATCATGCACGTTTTAATACAAAATGTTATGTGCGTTTCGGTACAAATGTCATGAAAGTTTTAATACAAAATGTCATGCTCGTTTTGGTACAAAATGTCATGCACGTTTTAATACAAAATGTCATGCACGTTTTAATACAAAATGTCATGCACGTTTTAATACAAAATGTCATGCACGTTTTAGTACAAAATGTCATGCACGTTTTAATACAAAATGTTATGCGCGTGATAATACAAAATTTTAGGCACGTTTTAATACAAAATTTTATGCACGTTTTAATACAAAATGTCATGCATGTTTTAATACAAAATGTCATGCACGTTTTAATACAAAATGTCATGCACGTTTTAATACAAAATGTCATGCACGTTTTAATACAAAATGTTATGCACGTTTCAATATAAAATGTCATGCACGTTTTAACACAAAATGTCATGCACATTTTAATACAAAATGTCATGCACGTTTTAACACAAAATGTCATGCACGGTTGAATACAAAATGTCATGCACGTTTTAATACCAAATGTTATGCACGTTTTAATACATAATATCATGCACGTTTTAATACAAAATGTCATGCACGTTTTGGTACAAAATGTCATGCACGTTTTAATACAAAATGCCATGCACGTTTTAATACAAAATGTCATGCACGTTTTAATACAAAATGTCATGCACGTTTTAATACAAAATGTCATGCACGTTTTAATACAAAATGTCATGCACATTTTAATACAAAATGTAATGCACGTTTTGGTACAAAATGTCATGCAAGTTTTAATACAAAATGTCATGTACGTTTTAATACAAAATGTCATGCACATTTTAATACAAAATGTCATGCACGTTTTGGTACAAAATGTCATGCACTTTTAATACAAAATGTCATGCACGTTTCCATACAAAATGTCATGCACGTTTTAATACAAAATGTTATGCGCGTTTTGGTACAAAATTTCATGCAAGTTTCAATACAAAATGTCATGCACGTTTTGGTACAAAATGTCATGCAAGTTTTAATACAAAATGTCATGCACGTTTTGATACAAAATGTCATGCATGTTTTATTACAAAATGTCATGCACGTTTTAATACAAAATGTTATGCGCGTTTTAATACAAAATGTCATGCAAGATTTAATACAAAATGTCGTGCACGTTTTAATACAAAATGTATGCGCGTTTTAATACAAAATGTCATGCACGTTTATTACAAAATGTCATGCACGTTTTAATACAAAATGTCATGCACGTTTTAATACAAAATGTCATGCACGTTTTAATACAAAATGTTATGCACGTTTTAATACAAAATGTCATGCACATTTGAATACAAAATGTTATGCACGTTTTAATACAAAATGTTATGCGCGTTTTGGTACAAAATTTCATGCAAGTTTCAATACAAAATGTCATGCAAGTTTTAATACAAAATGTCATGCACGTTTTGATACAAAATGTCATGCACGTTTTATTACAAAATGTCATGCACGTTTTAATACAAAATGTTATGCGCGTTTTAATACAAAATGTCATGCAAGATTTAATACAAAATGTCGTGCACGTTTTAATACAAAATGTTATGCGCGTTTTAATAGAAATTTATGCACGTTTTAATACAAAATCATGCACGTTTTAATACAAAATTTTATGCGCGTTTTAATACAAAATGTTATGCACGTTTTAATACAAAATGTCATGCACGTTTATTACAAAATGTCATGCACGTTTTGGTACAAATGTCATGCACGTTTGATTACAAAATGTCATGCACGTTTTAATACAAAATGTCATGCACGTTTTAATACAAAATGTTATGCACGTTTTAATACAAAATGTTATGCACGTTTTAATACAAAATGTCATGCAAGTTTTAATACAAAATGTCATGCACGTTTTGGTACAAAATATCATGCACGTTTTAATACAAAATGTCATGCACGTTTTAATACAAAATGTCATGCACGTTTTAATAAAAATGTCATGCACGTTTTAATACAAAATTTTATGCACGTTTTAATACAAAATGTTATGCACGTTTTAATACAAATTGTCATGCACGTTTTAATACAAAATTTTATGCGCGTTTTGGTACAAAATATCATGCACGTTTTAATACAAAATGTCATGCACGTTTTGGTACAAAATGTCATGCACGTTTTAATACAAAATGTCATGCACGTTTTGGTACAAAATGTCATGCACGTTTTAAAACAAAATGTCATGCACCTTTTAATACAAAATGTCATGCACGTTTTGGTACAAAATATCATGCACGTTTTGGTACAAAATATCATGCACGTTTTAATACAAAATGTCATGCACGTTTTAATACAAAATGTTATGCACGTTTTAATACAAAATGTCATGCACGTTTTAATACAAAATGTCATGCACGTTTTAATACAAAATGTCATGCACGTTTTAATACAAAATGTCATGCACGTTTTAATACAAAAGGTCATGCACGTTTTGGTACAAAATGTCATGCACGTTTTAATACAAAATTTCATGCACGTTTTAATACAAAATGTCATGCACGTTTTAATACAAAATGTCATGCACGTTTTTGTACAAGAAAGCAAGAACACTGGACTATCATCTCCTTCTAGAAATACATATGTCATGTTTTTATGTTTTAAGCGCTCTCTGAGCGATATTTTTGTCCGGACTATATAGTTGTCAAAATGGAGAAAACACAAGTGATTGGGGCCCCAGAATCACTTGTATTCACTCCGCATGTGCTTGATACGACCAGACTTCATGCAAAAATCATGCAGAGGCGAAAAACGTGAAAATGAAGGAGGTAAACAGAAGAGTCTTCAGTTTATATCTTAGTCAAAAAGCCAAATTCCATGCAATTTTTACTCATGCATATTGTCGAAATCGAGTTTTGTATTTGCGTGCATTAATGTCCCAAGGCATGTCCGACATCTCTTTACGATTCTTTCGTTCTACAAAAACAGAACTTCGGTAAAACGAAAGGACAGGGAAGTCTAGCATAATACAATCATATACCAATACAAATAATTATATAGGCATTGAGTTTTAATCCGTCTTTCCCTTTCAAAACGAGCATTCCCTTTGGGCAACCCTGTCCGAAAAACGAATAGGCCAGCTTGGAAAGTTAGTTTCAGTCATAAAGTTCGAATTCATTTCTATATATCAAAACTATTCTAGTTTCGTCCACCCCGACTGTCCGTAAACAAAGTACAAACGTGTTTTTTCAAGTCACAAATGCAAAATACACATATACTAATAGAACAATACCTATTATTCGCTGCGAGCAAGCCTTTACGTTTCTCCTTTCCCATCTTTCGGCGCCGTAGTTCGTTCTGTAATCAAATAAGCAAGGAAAAACTAAATTGAAGTAACAGCTCACTTGCATTGGACATTTTCAATCGAAATATACAAGATAAAGCAGTAAAAATCGGCAAGAATATGACTCCATTCGCTCACGTCTTCCCACGCTATTCAAATCAACACAGCGATCAGTAAATTTGTTTGCAAAGCCAGAGATCAAGCCAAAAGATGTTCAAACCAACTATCACCATGTACCTTAGTAAGCAAGACTCTTCCAACTTTTCCTGAACTTCTTCGACTGATGCTTCCGTTTCGAGACTGCAAACACTGAGTTTCGTCTAGATTCAACCGCCTTTTATTACTTCAACGACAAAGAAAATTCCAACGGACAATTTTAGCATTGACAACAATAGATAATCAACTAACTCATGCCAGACTTGTCCGGAATGGATATAAATTAGCCAAATGAAAATGTTTTGCATATTTCTATTGTCCGTTGTAAGTGATTAGCAAAATTCCGCTCCGTGAAGCGATTAATGGATACAACTCTTAGTTTGATTTAAAAAAGCCTTCTCTTTTCGCGTTAATACAACTAAAACTACAGGGTGTCTCAAAAAAAAACGCAACCACTATTTTCTAAAATTCATATTGTTCATAAGCTCATACTAATCGTACAGTTCAACTGCTAATAGTCAAATCAGCTAAACTAATAATGGTGCAGCTAACAACCGAACGAGTTTTTATTGTCGTGCATGATAACTTGAATGCTAACTGTCGACCTTGTCAAATAAATTGTAAATAACATTTTACTCGTTAAATACTTTCAATTCAGCTCGTTGGTTTACGCTCCCTCTTGAGGTGCTCTTTGATCACCAGCACTTTGGCCCGTCGACTTCGATGCCTTATTTTTATTTTTCCACTGATGATAAACCTTAAGACGGCAATAGAACTCTTGTTTACAAGCTTCTAATAACTCGACATCTAGAAAAACAAAAACAGAAGTCCATATTTTGTATTCAAAACTAAACTTTCCACAGGAACCAAGTAATGACAACAACACATACCGCACGAGGTGTTGATGGTGTCTCTTAACTCAGCGTATTTCCATTTACTCAGGTCATATTTCTTATTCGGATCTTTCAAGGAAGCCGCTCTGTTGGAAAACAAGTTCATTTTTTAGTATCTTGTTTGTGATAGCTGATCAGAATAAAGTATGTTTAGGTTTTTTCCTGCATGTAGTAACGCTGGATCAATAAGAGATGATCCTTACTGGACCTCTAGGAAGAACAGTTTAGAACTGATAGAGCTACTCAGTATAAATAAATAAAGGTAGTTTAGTTTAGGTTTCCTCCTGTAGTAACACTGGATCAATAAAAAGAGATGATCCTTACTGGACCTCAAAGAAAAATAATAGCTTTTTGTTCCTCCATGGGTTCTAGATTCCTAAAATGAGAACAAATTAGTATAGGCCTAATTCTGTCTAGCACAAAATGAACATAAACTTCCACACAGTTGAACAGTTAAACGGAAGCATTTAGTAGTATTAATCGCCAAAGAAATTGAAAAAATATTGAGATATACCTTTGCCAAACGCAAGGCCAGTTCGTGATCTAATCTCTCTTGTTCAAGAGCAGCTTGTCTGAAATAATAAAATTTTACATTGAAAAAAATATCAGATTTAAAGCATTACGTGTGAGTCTATAAAAAGGACTCGGGAATTTTTTTGGAAAACCTCGCAAAGATGTTTATGGTAGCAAAAATAAGTTCATACCGAGATTTTGCCTCTTCTTCCTCTTTCCTTAATTGTTCCTCGATTTCTTTCTAAAAAACCCAGAAAAGATTCACGGTAAAAATATTGCCAGAGGTGATCAAGTATGGTACGACATTAATACATAAAAAGTTTTGAAAATAATTTTATTTATTTATCGTAATAATGCTCAAAACCTGTTTCGCTTTTTCAAGTTCCCTCCGTTTCATTTCTTCCTCTTCTGCCCTTCGCCTTTCGGCTTCCATTTCAGCTTTACTAAAACACACAAAAAAAAATGTAAACATTTAAATATCGTACACAGCCAGCGCTCATATTTCAGCCAATCAGTGCTCAGCAGGGTTTTCAAAAAAGAAACCATTCTGCAGTATTTAATCCATCAAATCTTTTGTTATTCTTTATGAAAATAGCCGAAATTTCGTGAACATGTTTAGTTATAAGAACTGCAATAAATGTGACATATACTTTAAGTGATATTAAGTTGTTTCAACCGAGAATTTGATTTTTGTTTAGTTTGACAAATAGTCAAATCTATTTCCGCCATTTTGGATCATCTGGTGTGAGTTTAGGAGGAAAAAGAATATGATATCGTTGATCATTTTAAACTTACATTCTTGCTTCTTCTTCAAGTTGTTTTCTTCTCCTTTCCTCCTCTTCTCGCCTTTTTCTTTCTCTTCTTCCTCCCTCTTCTCCCTCCCTTTTTGCTTCTGAAAATCTACGACTTGTTTGTCCACCTTCGCCACAAGAATACGGTGGAGATTCTCGATCTGATCACGGCTCATTATCGTGTTCTAAAATGCAGCACCAAGAGATGATTAGATCGACAATGATACATAACAGACGGGCCTTCAACAACACTCCTTGATAAGTTCCTGAGGCAGCATTTCAACACGTCTACTAACCTTGATTTTCTGTATAGCAGCCGATATTTCTTTTTCGATATCAGAAATCTGTTTGGTCAGAACATTCTTGTCGGTTTTTAAACCTGAAACTACATTGAAACAACGAGGAAACCGTCAGTGGAGGTGTTGTAGAATTACCCCCAACCGTTACTACAGGAAGAAACCTAAAATAAACTAACTTTATTTATACTGGATATACTTCTATCAGTTCTAAACTGTTCTTCCTAGAGGTCCAGTAAGGATCATCTCTTATTGATCCAGTGTTAATACAGGAGGAAACCTAAACTAAACTAACTTTATTTGTACTGGATAGCTCTATCAGTTCTAAACTGTTCTTCCTAGAGGTCCAGTAAGGATCATATCTCTTATTGATCCAGTGTTACTACAGGAGGAAACCTAAACTGAATTAACTTTATTTATACTGGATAGCTCTATCAGTTCTAAATTGTTCTTCCTAGAGGTCCAGTTTAATCATAATCATTCCTTTATATCTGTGAAAAACAAAACACATGGTCTAATAAGTTTGTGGTTCATTAACTAATTATGAATATTTGAAATAGTTGGCCTTATAAGAAATTTCGGTGGAATAGTTTCATTGCCCTCGGTAGAATTTTGTAAACTCCTGATATACCTTTGCTGGTGTTATTTCCACGCGAGGAACATTTTGACGGTCTTCTGAATCGTGGCCCAAGCTTTTGCTCTGAACTTGATCTTGTTTGCCACTGGAAGGCATGAGAGTTAGAACCAGCTTTTTGACGTTAACTATATCCAAGATCTCTCTGCGAAGTTAAGCATGGAGCATTGTCACATTTCTGGACTGAGATTGGGCACCATATCACTTTCTTCCAGCAATTGACAACGATCCACCTTGAAACTTTCGATACAAGAGCTTTTAGACTCTCAGGATCTGACAGCATTATATGATCAAATGTTGCAAATTACAAAAATGAAAACGAATTTAGCCATATTTTAGTGGAAACCTTTCAATAAATCAATCACTTTAACAATGATACAATAATCTTAACTTTCCTGGTCTAAAAAATACTTTCGTCAACCCAAACTTGAAATCTTCAGGATCCATGCTGACCGCTCAGTATGTATATTCAAATCTACGCTACACTGGGACAGTTGTCAAGTCGATTGTGCCATTTCTAGCGAATTTATTAACAAGTTTTAAAGCAATCTAAATAGAATTACTAGTGGGTGCATCTTTTATCCCCCCTTCCACCTGCGAGTAAAAGGACGTAAAGACAGCAGTTGCCCCTGCATTTTAACACAATAAGGCAGTGTTCTGGGATTTTAACCCAGAGGCCAAACATAACAGCACTGTTTAATGAAAAAATAGAATTCACTATAGATCTTTGTTTGGCCCCAGACATGGACACTGTTTTTGCCAAACATGAAATGGAGGGAAACCGGAGTGCCCGGAGAAAAACCCTCGTGACCACAACATGAAATCCGGATCTCAAAATCCGTTTGTATCTTAAATGTGATTGGTTCATTCGTAGTCACATGACTTTAAATAAATGCAATGTTTCCCGCCACGGAAACAAGTGAAAAATTGTTGCCCGCATATTGTCATAACAAAGTGTTTTTGTAATGAAATTGTTGTGTAACATGTATGTTTTCGTTCCTATATAACAAAACACTTAATGTACACTCCCTCAGGAAATAGTGAGTTTTGTTTTCCCTCGAGTCTCAATGTTTCAAATATTCAGACTCTTACGAAAACAAGACTCACTATTTCCCTCAAGGCGATCATCAGGCGAATGGATGCATTTAATGTTTTTTCTGACGCATAAGGGTAGCATACTAGCGTGTAGATTTATCCACACATGTACATTTTGTGTCAGTGTGTACTGTATGTATAGCATTTCTGTAAGGTATACAAAGGAAACAACCATTTTTTTCTCATTTTAGCAAAACATTCAAGATACCAGATGAACTAAGAATATGCTCCTGGATAAATATTAAGTGCAATTAATATACTAAGCATATCACAAGCAAGTGTTTCATAAAGTGTACTGAGTTACTGATCACACATTAATTAAATGTTCTACCTTATTCTTCAACATTTCTTGGATAACCAGCTCAGTCTGACTGTACAATTATTTGTGAAGGTAAATTATTTGGGTGTAAGCTGAAGTGTTCCAATCCTTTGTTTTGTTTTGTTATACATATTTCTAATAAATAGATAACTATTGTTTAATTGAATTTTATTTTTAGTAAATCTATATTTAGTAAGTAGTACATACCAAATGCAATCCTGACACCAGTCCATGTTATACAGTCTGTGTCTATAAATATTTCACCAATATGAAAGAAAACAAACAAACTTTTCCTCAAGTATTAGATATAGAAGATTCCAGACTGTAAGCTAGATACCGTAAAATTCTTCCTGTTGCAACGACCAATGGGAAGGAAAGGGTGTTGCCTGTTACAGTCTTGTGAAACATAATGTATTAATACATAAATATGTATGTTATGTATTATTTCTTCACCATAGCTTGTAGTAATGTTTTACAGTTAGCTTGAATTCTTTTTAGTGTACTTCTACTGTTATCAGTTTCTTCTCTTGCTTTTTTGATAAATGCTTGAGAGTCCTGCATTAAATCCAGATCCCCTGGGAGAGCTGAAAGACCAGAGGATTCCAAACTTTGATTTAGTTGTTTTGTTATTCCTTGTAGTCTCTCAAGTTCATCTGCAAAAATAGAAACAATTTTATATTATATGCAAATTTTCCATGTAGTTATTGAAATTGATGAAATTATTTCACTTTTAGACTAACTTTGCAATTCATTATCTGAACATGAATAACTTGATAATGCTTCCCTAGGAAATCAAAATAACATAGACAGTACAGTTAACATTCAATTTAATAGTGTCTAAAAAGGTGAAACTGTCAATATTATAGTACTTAAAGCAATCAAAAGTAAAACAAATTGGATGGGCAAGTGTTAAAGGATTACTCTTGTGTGGCAGAATAATGAAGCTATAATCTATCATTGTAAATAGACGGTAGTCACAGTGAATACAGACAATGTCTATATCCATGATACTGATATACAATATGTTGCAGTATAGATTAGACGATCACGGTACTGGAAACAGAAAATAAAAAGATAAGACATTAATAAAAAGCAACTTACATTCTTTTAAAACACTGTTCAGACTCAGCTTGCAGCATTTGGATAAGTTCAACAGTCGATATGTCGCTTTGAATTCCCAGGGTTGCCGCCATGCTGCTTCCCCCGGAAAAGGCCAAAAGGGCCTGCGGAGGAGGTACATCACTCCAACACTGGGCTATCAATTATAGCTCAGTGTCAGTGATCATGAAGCATTTTGTAACATCCTGCGCAGATATTCGGAGATGCGGCTATCTTTAAATGGGGGAACGGGGTATCGGGGAATTCGGGAATTGGCAAATAAAGGGAATGGGGCTTATAGTTTGAAACTGAATTAACTGACTTCATTTTGGGTTTTTTTATACCTTTCTCTGATCTCTGATCTTTTGCTCAGAAGTTTGTTTGCGTCACCCTGCAAAAGACACAATTTCTCTGCAATACAGAGGTTTGCATCGTTTAGCACCCGGCGAGTATGCTGGCGCGCGTTTTGTGATGGACCATGAAAGTGTAAACTTCTTATGATTTCTATTCAAATTCCAAATATACTTTGAAATTTCAGTTTCCTTCTCGTACCTGGCGTGGTTAAAGGACTTTTTATGGTTGCTGAATCTTGATTTAAACGAATTCGTGGTCATTCCGAGGTATTGCTATATATATCACCATGTTTCTCCAGAACTTTTAAATAAAAACGATACAGTAGGTGTGCTTAATTATTGTTGTGTTCGGTATACGCATTTTGATATCCTGTTGTTTTCAAAATTACTAAAACGTGTGCAAGGCCTTTTTCTCAAAAATATCAATCATTGATCTCGTCAGTTAACAGTTGTAATTGTTAAAAAAAAAGTTTAATTCAGTTTCAAATTATGAGCCCGATTCCCGATTCCCTGATTCCAGAATTCCCCGTTCCCACTTTTTAAAGATGGCCCGAACTCCGGAGATCCTGTGTCTTATTTTTAGCCATGACGATAATCAATTTATACAAAACATATTTTCTGACAACAAGGGTCGTCTTGTATAATATTGGGTAAACTTTTGTTAAATATGGCAGTGCCTACAAATGCTATAAAGGAAGCAAACGACCAAATATTACTGATGCATTCTAAGATGCAAGAACTGGAACAGGAAATTGAACGTTTGAATGGAAAATTATCGTCGAAAGAAAATCTAGAAGAAAGCAATATTCAAAAGCAACAAGTTGTAAACATGAAAGACACGGAAATTCGAGAATTACGAGCAGAACTACGTATAGCAAAGGAGAAAATAAATAACTTAGAACAAGAGCTCTTTGACAATGAAGTAAAAATGGAAAAATTACAAAGCAAAAGTAAAATTTTGGATGACGTTGTCGGGTTTCGTGGTTCACTGGAAGGTTTGTTATCATATTTCAAAATTGTTCAAGAGATGAATATTAATGATAATGACATAAATGGCAATTTACGTGAGACAGAAATAACAGATGGTTATCAGAGTGACAGTGAACATGGTGGTAAAACTAGTGTATTAATTAATGGTGATCCAGATGCTGAGCTTGTAGATCATATTTAATAGTTGTTACTGGTAATTTGATTACAGTCAATGTCACATCACTTTTGTGAGAAGTTTGCAATTTACACTTCTTTTTGAAAAATAATGACAAATAATGTGTCTTATAAATAATGAAGATGACTGCCTGTGTTCTTGAATTTCCTTTGTACTGACTAAAATTTTGGTTTTCAAATAAAATATCCTGAAAAAGGTCTGATTGCAGAGTTAGTTCAAATATCACAGAACAACATGATTGCTTTTATTTATAGTATGTGTTGAGTGACAAATCATGAGGAATCACACTTGCAAAAAACAATGGAGTTGTCTTTCTGATTGGTATTTAACAAATAGATAACATTGAACCGTTGTCTGTTAGTTATAGATACACAGTATGACATCATTTCTGTCAAAATTAAACAGGCAAGTTTTCCCATCACTTGGAAATTGTCAAAGTAGAAATTTTGCAGATATCAAGCATACATGATCTGTATGACTGAGGAAATGCTATTGCATGCTAAAATGTGATTGGCTGACAAAATAAAACAAGAGATGACTGATTAAACTGAGTAAAATTATCTGTGACATCATTCTGTGTGTCTGTCCTCTTATAGATCATGGCTCTCGACCAATGAATTTGCTTGAATTCCTAACGTTAGTATATAATCTGTGCTGGATGTATAAAAGCTAAATTTGTGTTAGTTGTATTCATTTGCCAAATCAGAAACACTGATTAAAATACTTCATTTTTAAACAAATCAAGAAATATATTTGTTACAAAAAGTAATTACAAACCAAAAGTTAGTCTATATACATATACATTCTTTGTATAATAAGGGAATATCATTGCAAAATATTTTACTGAATCTCAAAAAATTGAATAACATCTGGCCAGTCTTTTTCATCCCATTCACCATTTTCAATAACATTTGATGGACTTTTTTTCCAGTCCCAATGTTTGACTGGCTCAGCCCAGGATTTCCCGTAATTTGCCTCAATGTAAGATAATGTTTGACATGGTACTCGAACTTTCATTCCGAGAAATTCTGTCCAACATAATGAAAAGTTGGGGAAAATGTACCTAGATAAATAATGCAAATACATTTCAATTAAAAATTACATTATTTAATAATTACATTACTTAATTTTAAAAGAGGTTTAAATTCTAGTTTCTTTATCTACGATTTTTCCCACACCTACCTAGACCAGTCCTCAGCCTTAATAATGAACAATGCCTGGTGGAACTGTTTATTCATGTTCACACATAGTACACGCCTCATCAATAGGGTAATCTTTTGGTATGTGTGGGTAGTTTGAGGCCTTCAGACATCTTCTGTACAGAAGGTTTGCGAAAATAATGATTTTGCATTTGTGAAAAATGTTTGTGTTTGTAAAAAAAAGAATGGGCACAAAAATTGGGAGTGACAATGCAGTTTGAATACGGTTTCAGGCAATTTGGCGCAGGTGTGCAAGGTTCAAAAGATTGGGTATTTCAACTTTTAAATTTGATTTTCTGGTAACTTGATACTCGTTAATTTCAGTTGTAACTAATTATTATAACGAACATTATAAATGAGTTTTAATTTAGATGTTATTACACCAACAGAATGTTGCAATGTATTTCACGGATGTTAACGTTAGAATGTTTACACTGCATTTATTTTTCGCACTGCACTCTTAAATTTAGTCTGCGATAGCAGACTGATCTTTGCCTCCCCCATGGAGGAGACGGAGAAACAGAGATCAGAGATCAGGGGGGAGGCAGAGATCACTCTTGTATCGCAGACTAAAAGGGGCGGTGTGTTATGTTTTTAGCGGGCCGAGAACCCTTCCAAGAGGTAACAAGTAACTAAGCAGGAGCAGTGTTTGAGATAAGCAGAAATTTTGTTTTTGAACTAACATCTAAATTCCTTGTACTTTGGGAGCTGCAACTTTAACGTGGTCGATTTTACAAGTTATGCATATCTAATAGTCACAAAAACTTTAATAACTTACATTACATATTCCTGCGTATTTAGGCCTGTTAAGTTAAACTGAATTTTCCTTCATTCACCCATTTTTGAGCGCAAATCGTTTATTCATTGACTGCTAAAAACACACTTGTAAAAACACTGTGTACAAACTTTCTCTACAGGAGATCTCCGAAGGCGTCAAAGTATCCATACACATACCAAAATATTTCACCACAAATGACGCGCGCGCAGGCGTACGCCTGGCAGGAAGAACATTTACCAGGTCCATGCGTTTTTTATACACCTTTAGTATATATAGCTGTCGTAAAGTAAAACTGTCAAAAAACTTTTGATATTTAAGAATAATTGTTTCTGCAATCTGCATGTAACAAAAAGACGATCACGATTGCATGGTTCGTTGTAGAGAAGACTATAACGACGTTATATCCATCGGTACTCAAGGGTAAATTTGAAGGTGAACGAATATAATAAGTTGACTATACTTATAACTACTCTAGACTTACTTGAATTTTTTTCCAGTTTTGGCCTGAGTCCCTCCATTCCACATGTAAGTTTCTTCTTCATAAAAGAAGAAAATATCCAACTTAATATCATCAACTGTCTTAAATGACATCTGAAAACTATCATTGACCTATAAAAGACAGATATCAAATCCATTATTATTTGATTATTCAACCTCTATAGGAAAAACGTTTTATCACAATTGGTAGCTAGTTAACACTATGTTATTGTCCAGGTTTGTGCAAGAAATAGTTCCTTTCTCGTCAGTGTCTATTGTATTTTAGCCAAACTTATCAATGGCATTCGTCTTGCTAAGCTCATCAACCTTGACTTGAAAAATATGTTAATTAAAAGATTGCTATTGGTTTATATTTATGCTGTCTCTAATCTCTATTCTTGACTCAACTCTACAGGTCAGTGCATGTTCGTAGACCTGCAACGTCTTACGCTAGAAATTTCTCACAAACATCAATTTCAGGCTTACCCTTCCAAATAAATGCTCTAAGTACAATCCATTATTTTGGAATTCATCAATAAGTTGCTTATTATAATCAGTGATCCACATTCCAATATCCATATCTTTACCATGAGAGATAACACTACATTGTCGGAACCAACCTACGGAGGAAAAAACAAATTATGTAAGCTAGTCATATATGCCTTTCTAGATAATCTAGATAAGCATTTATTGGAGATAGATTTTTATGGGAATACTTATATGCGTCAATGCATGCTAATGCCAGGCTTGGAGAGCACTAACAACGCGTTTGGCTAATTTATTATATAATTTGCCATCAAGCAAATCTCAGAGTCATGATACTTGTAACGACACACTAGTTTTATGTTATAAAGGATTCTTGCTAACCCAGACATGTTCCACTACTAAGCCAAAATCTCACTCTTAGATCGTCTAAAATAATTTTCGCAATCTTCAACACTTCTTTCCCGCGCTTTCTAAACGTTCCTGCCTTTGATGTCCCATCATCTCCATATTTGGAATAAAATTGTCTTGCTCGTTTCATGTTACAAGGCAAATATCGGGAAGTGTTTAAATTCTTCAGAAACTCGTCAATTTCAGAAGGTAATCTGATTGTATAACCGTCAACAGTTGAAATATCCAAAGAGAATCTGTACAAAAAATGCAAGAATTAATGATTCTACTGTATCTGATTTAATTTATTTGCATGCAATGTGATCATACTTACCTATTAAGAACACTTTCATTATGAAAATAATAAGAAATCAATTTTTTGTCCAGATTGATAGCGAAGTCTTTCCATGAAATTGAGCCATGCCATAAGCCAAGTGCTTTTCTATCATAAAATACTATCACATGAATGATAACATCAAGACGAGTAAATAAATAATGGAATGGTACGAGTTTTTCCATTGTGCCATTTAGTTTAATAAGTCTAGGATCTTGACCTGTCACACTTGTATAAACAATTTTTTTTTCTTTCAAACTGTGCAATACCTACGAAAATTAAAAATAAACTGGATCAATGAAAAAATTCAATTCTAATATTATGTGGTTTGGTCCACAAAAAAGTAAAGAGTGTTCCATTCGCTACCAAACGTCGTTTACAACACTCTGCTCTGATTCTTCCGTATCATCAGGCAGCCGAATCTCGTTCCCCGAGCCCACATTCCTCTAGCGAAGAAACAAAGGCTCTGGGATAATCCAAACCCTCCGATTTGTAACGGTTTTTACTTTTTATTGTATTTTAAAATTGAAACGGCGTGAACGAACATAGTCAATGGTTTCAGTTACCAGCTAAATGAACGTGTTAAAATAAATTGAAGTCAAAGATGACCGTGTACACTTGTGTACACTTGTGTACACGAAAATACTCCAATTAGTTTCACACGGATTCACGCATGCCTACAATGCAATCTATATGTATATATACTCACCCGGGCATTTAAACCACTTGGATTCAATCGAGATTCAAGCACACCTAGAGTGATTATAGGTTTTTGACAAAAATGATAGCATCCTTTTCTATGGTGTGTCTTTTGGGAATTCACGTCATCTAGGACACTCTTCAAAACTGTCGGATCAATGATAATTATTGTGATACGATTCTCGGAACATGTTTCAAGGAAGTCATCCAGCAGTGACTAAAAACGACAATATAATCATTGATGTATACATTCTTTAGATGAGCTACAATGCAAATGTGTTGGCGGATTCGTCAATAAAACACTGCATATTATATAATAATATATATATTCCAATATAAAGTTCGATTTGAAAATCAGCGAAAAAATCGACTAAAATGGCCTAATAAACTTCTTTGACATCTGCATTGTTATATTGTACAACATAAAGTAGTAAGTCTCTGACTAAACATTTGAAAATTACTCAATAATCAATATACCAAAAAGAGACGAATATTTTATTTTTATGAAGTTTTTAAGCTTAACAGAAAAAAAATATGATTTTATTTTTGTGAAGTTTGGAATGCTCAATAAGCATGCTCAAAAATCATCCTGACAAACAAAAATCGCTGAAATCAAGATGCACCTCAAGAAATTATATTAATATAATAATAGGAAACGCCCGATAAAGTGGGCTAGCCCGGTCCAGGTAATCGGCCCCTGTTGCATCTTACTATTAAATTTGATATGTACCTACAAGTAAATTCTGTCCAGTTTTTTTCAAATCCTTGTGTTTGCTTGAAATCCACGCTGGAGCGATGTTAACAAGAAAACTCTGAATAATAAAAACATATCAGAGAAGAATGACCGTAATACTTATCAGCGCATACACTGACACTGGGTTATGACAAAACCTTGAGAACTGTGTTCTTGTTGGTGGAAACGATTGGGAGATCTATCATACCCCTCTACCAAATTGTAAATCTAAGTCATGGAATCACCCTTTTTTGCCCAATTTGTCAATATTCCAATAGAAAAAAAACTTAGGCTGCAAACTGTGGTAAGCATTATTAATTACCTCTGTTACAAGTATGTATATAGTATGAAATGTTTTCACAATGCACCAGGAGGATCTTAGCTAGACCCTGGCTAGACCAAGTAAAAACATTGGACACCAAAATATAAGAATATTATAGAACAGGTTGTTTGGAGTTTCAATGAGTTCCAGAGTAGACAGGGCCGTAACTAGAACGATAATTGGGGGGGTGTTTATTCATATATTCAGTTTTGCATAACGGATTTCTATTGTAAGCTATTGCACTTACAAAAGAAACCCGTTTGGCAGAACTGAAGATATGAATAAATACCCCCCTCCCCAATTATCGTTCTAGTAATACAGCCCTGAGAGTAGATGATGTGACAGATTTTTTTAGTATAATCACTCTAAAATGTTTGCAACCAGTTACCAGTCCACAAAAGGATCATCAAGGCAAATAGAATTTTGCATAATAGATCAACTTTTGATTTAGGCAACAAAAAAGGAATTTCCAAAGAGTGCATACTAAACTTAGTAAAATTGCCCAGTTTGGCTGAGAAATATTGTAAAGTACAGAAAATATACTTTTGCATCATAGATGATCTACCCAACAAAAGGGAAATAAATCACCACAGCTAAAAAGAGCATACTGGTACCAAAAGGAGTGTTAGTATGATTGCCAAGTATGTCCAGAAGTATTTACATGTTACACGCCATAGTAACTCTCCCTTCGTCAGGAGAGTTAGTATGGATAGTTAGTCTCTCCTGACGAAGGCCTCAGATCGAGACGTGGAGAAGTGTTTTTCAGGGAGTTGTTACTTGTTATACCACATTTGATGTTAAGATATTTGAAGACGCTGCTCCCTAGCCTGCAACGCAGACTATATATTGGGGTATATATCCCAATATATAGTCTGCGTTGCAGGCTAGCTGCTCCCTGGTTATATTAATATAATACTATTTAAACTTATATTATGCATTAAATCAAAAAGGTTTTTACCTGTTTCCCACGATTTATATTATTGTACATAGAAATCTGAATCCAGAGAAAAGTGACAGAGACGAGAGATAAGAAAAATAAAACCAACGAACGTTGCATCAAAATACATCTGCTGATCATTTGTATCTTTTTAGAATTTCGGCGGCAAAAATTAGATACTTAGTCCCTTAGGCACTGCTCATAAACGCGATCCTGCTTTCCATATTTTAAAGTGCCATTGATATTAACTTCTTTACATACCGAAACAATCGTTGTTTAATATATCTGATCACAAATCATAATTGAATGTTCCGCCATCGACCATTTTGGCTGACATAATAATGGAGCATCAACTGGAGCGTGACCATCTTTCCCGACTGAACCGTACTTGACTCTGGCTTGACGTACATATATCTATTTATCTAAAGATTTGTGAAACCATCTACATGGTTTAATTATAAAAGCATTTGTGATTTAAACAGAAAAGCTATTAAAATTTACAAGAAATAATCATGCATTGTAAGTAGAGTACTTCATGTAATACATATCATATGGTACATAATCTTTCCCGTGGTGGCGAAGTTCATCATTCTGGAAAGAAACACCCAATTCTCAATTCTCATGGCCAAATCATGTAGAGAAAATCTTCTTTGAATTCGTCTTTTAATTTGGCGCCTTAGCTTAAGCAGAACTGGAAAATGTCAGACATATTACAGTTTACATCTAGCTATTTAGTCCATGAATTTTAGCAATTCTAGGGCTACCTCTTCAGTTCTGGAACTCCAGGAAAGATACCAAAAATTCCTTGTTACTTGTTGACAGTTTGATGTTACTTGAAAAGAAGAGATTTAAAGCATCGTTATCATTCATGTTAATAAAGGCCCTAGTATATAAAAATAAAAACCATAAATTTGCCGAAAGGTGGGATATAACAACGAGGCGTTGCTTTTGCATTTGGCTGACGTTTACTCTTTTGATAATATCAACTCCTCACAGTGAACTTTACATTTGAGTTCACTTACTCCTGCATGAAGACAATGATATACGAAAATGTAGTTCATAGAAAACCACATACGAAAAGAGACGCAAGTTTTAAATACCTGATGTGTTGTTGGAAAGTCTCAGTTATTCTGTATATAGAACTTCGTAAAGCTAAAATATTAAAAATGCCGCTTTTTAAAGGGCCATGCAAGCCCAAAAAACGAATAAACATATATAATTATGGTTCGTGCTATATAATACACTGATAGCATTACATTTGAGGCGACAAAAACTCATGACATTTACATCACTGGTCATTGTAATAAAACGCTGTTTTATTCGTTACTGCATGGGCATATCTATTTATACAAACCACAAACGCGGGGCGGGATAACATGTATGCGTGAAAATTTGCGTTGCATGCAAGTTGTAGCTGCTAAATATTGTCCTTTGGCTCAGTTACAATATCATATATATATTAATTACTCTCTGACTCTATATGAAATACTCACAATCTCTCAAAACGAATACCGTTCTCCTTATCTTCGCAGGATGTCGTTTTCTGTATGCTTCCACATCAGGAGGTCTTTTTAGGTAAAGCTCTACTGCCTTAAACAACAAAACAGCTTGGAATTTCACACTCTGCAATGCATGTAACGGTTGTGATAATTCTGCATGAGATCGATAACTAAAAACCCAGATATACACTATAGAACACTTTTGTAGTATTGGTACCGAATGGGAAACGAGAACGTGGCAAAACACACTCGAAACGTTGAGAAGCGTTTTATCTATTTTATCCGTTGTTATACAACATTTAATGCGAAGTGGTTTGAAGACCCTTCATGCTGCTTCCTGGTTATATCAGAAAAATTTAAATGAAAAGTTCCACAATCATGCGTACGGCTAGCTAAAAAATAACATGTCTAGTCAAAACTGTTTTTAAAAATATACCTGAAATAGTTCCAGTAACGATGTCAGTATAAATGGCAATGACTGGATAAAAGTAAAAATACAGAAGATACAGAACTTTTTAAAAGTTCATGCAAATCATTTGTGAAATCGAAAGGCCAAACATTTACCTTTTGAGCGACACCAAAACATCATCCGTAAACATGCAACGACAAGTCGCGATAAAGCTGAAATAACAGTAACTCTTTTCAGATTCAATACTTTTATGTAAGAAGAGTAGCTATACACTTTAAACGCACCAAACACAATCGGTGGTTAGTATACAGTGTGTGAATATAACTTTACCACTGGACTAGCTATAAAATGCGACTGTGTAAAATGGCAATCTCTAGTTTCCTATTTACTATAAAGCTTTAAAAATCACCAAATTCACACGAAAAAATTCTAGCTAGAAACAAAACCTTCTGCGGCCCAAATCTGCAACTGTACGTCAGTAAATAAACGTTCCATTTCTAATTCGTCCACCTTTATGTTGGAAAAAAGATAAGGATTATGTTCGAAACAGCAGCCAGAGGATAGTAAATTTCAGTATTGTTGATACCAAACATTTTATCCCATATTTTTGTACAACTTTGACAGATTCAAAATATTAAAAAATATATATTACCTTCTCTAAAAAATATTCTATCACTGGAATTTGCTTCAATTCATTAGACAGCAAAACCTTCACGCATAATAGACAATAAGGGACATCAGTAACATTCGTTGACAAAAATTACGACCATAGTTATATACGAAGATGCAATTTTAGGGGCATTATGGGACATATAATATTCAGAATTTTGAATCGATGAGTTTCATTAACATTTTAATCAGTGTTTCATTTAGTGGTCAACCTGAAATGTTTCGATGATTATGAAACACAGGAGAAGTATAGTGAAACATTGTTACGAGACTACACATATTTTCAACAAATACAAAACCAACACATCCAGTGAAGAACTCATTCTCTGTCACTCCGATTATCGAGTCTCGATTTTCAGTTGACCACCACTGGAATCTATATACATACTGCATCGTGTGAACAATAGCTTACTGAGAGGACACCTAATCATATTAAAAAAGACCAACAAATTGCTTTTAATAAAGCCATTAAATATTTAGAAGTATTAAAATAATCATTTGACAATTATCAATCATCTGAGACATCGTCAATCACCATGACTGGATAAACTGTCCTTCCCGTTCAAACCGAAAACTCTATCGACGCTAATAGATGATTGGTTCCGATCCTTGGACCACGTTCCTTTCTTTCTTGATTATCTCAACCGACAACATTCCAATATATCTTTCACATATGACAACGAACACAATGGCAAGCTCCCTTTTCTTGATGTTGAGATATTATATACGCTCCAAAGGTAAATTTACGAACTTCTGCATGTTTCTCGCAAATTCATGTTTACTTTCAGGTCTTTTCGCCATTTTCCATAGCTCTTTATAGCTACCACTTAATTACAAACGCTGCTTAATATCATGCTTACTCTATCGCATCTTCAATCTCTGGTCATACAAACATATACAAACATTACCCACTGGCTTAAAGTGAACATAATTATTGATTGGAGATTACCGACCGACGTCGCGTTCAACCGACCACCTTGCCGAAACTGGGGGTGGCGCCCCCTGCATGTACACCTGCCCTTCGCATTTGTTTCACCGCGCTGTCCGCAACTTTCTCGACAATACTTTTGCTTAGGTTACGACGAAATGTCACCATGCATTAAATATATTTTTATACTTTTAAATCGTTGAAATCGTCCTAAATGGCTTTATTAAAAGCACTATGTTGGGCTTTAATATTTATTAAGCTATGACTGAATAAAGATCACAGATGTACTAAAGATTAATAATAGTAATACCTTGCTTTTGATCTCGAAGCGGGTATTCTCAGATGGAAGTGAAGATGATAACTGATGGCCAGCTAATGTATGCCGTAGCGACTTGTTTCCTGAATTTGTTAATCCAAGTGTTGTTTGAGACTTCACTGAATTGGGAGTTTTCTTCACTGAACTTTGATTTCTTGCTACAATATAAAATATGAATTTAGTTTTCGTTGTGCGGCTGATGTGATGCCGACACGATATCGTGGCGACAAAAATTTTCAAAACCTCGCAGTGAAAACATATTTGCAATGAGATAACTGCATGTGGATGGGAAAATACAGCGAAAGATGCACGATTATAGTTTTCCTAAAACTACCATAAATAATACACCGCAAACCTGTTCTTTAATGTTACTTCCAAAAGTCACCGCATACCTCTGAAATATTGGTTTTTATTCTCTCCTAGAGACTCGTTTGTTCCAGATTGTCTGTACGCAACGTGATTATGATTGTCATATGAAACAAGCCGTTCTTTGAGATTGTTGAGGCAAGTCAGACAGTCATCTGAAATCCATAACCAATTCAAGGGTCGACCACCTAAAAAAGATAGATGGGAGCAAAGTTTAAAATGTTAAAAGTGTCGTGAAAAGCCACCCAGAGCCGGTAAAAGGAAAACAATTTGCAATCCAGGTCAAAAATGAAAAACACTTTCTAAAAAACTGCTGAATCAACCGCCGGATTGTTCTACTCTATATACAGGGCGATAGTCCTTTTCGTATCACACATGCAGAATGTACGTCATGATAAATCATAGTTACGCCTAAAATATTAGATCATCGTCTTGAAATACAAGAATGCACAGGTAATCTACGAGATTATCAGACGAAAGTCTCAATGAAGGGACCAGAACATGTTAGGACTGGGGTGAGCTTGTTAAAAAAGCTCGATTTCTTTGCTTCGTTCATTTGAGAACGAAAACTGTTTTACGTGAAAGACATTTTTTAAATTCGATTTGTTTTGTTTTGTATTTTTAACTGTTTTTTTCCCATATCAATTATTAGGCTCAAAAAATGCTGAGGAGAATATTCAACTGTACAATAGAACCATTTGTTGATCAAGAAGCCTGTTTTAAATCGAAGTGCACTCGTGCATGCGCAAACAGTGCATTGGTGGGTAACTAAAAACCTTTTTACGCGAAGTTTGTTTTCAAGACGGTCAATGCTGGGTATCAATAACTCAATAACTTGTTCTTAACAACTTGTTTCCAGAATTACATAAAAATTAAATGTTTCCCAAAAAGGTTTTCTAGAACAACAAAATGAAATGGTCTTGAAAGACTACCACACAGAAGCAAAATTAGCGAATATCAAATATCTTATCCTGTAGTATTGGTAGGTTTCAGAAGGCATTTTAATTGACGAAATTAAGACTGTTAATTAAAACTTTTCCAGTAAGCAAGGATACTGTCTTTATAGAGTATTCATGGCACTAAACGAACGGTTCAAAAGATTTTTGCATTATTACCTGGGACACTCAAAGCAAATATTTGTTTTCTTCGTTTCTGTGAAAACTGCGACAATTGACAGAGATCGTTAAAGGCATGGTACTAAAGAAATTCATATAAAGACAATACAACCCTTGCATGATTACTATAAGAAAAACAGTCGTTTGAAATATAAAGCGAAGTACATTTGCTAATTTCGATAGGGTGAGGCCGTGTTAATTCTTTCAAGATTCAGTAGCACATACTAACCTTGAGTAACGGAACAGTCTGGCATTTCAACGCAACAGGAAGAGTTTGATCAGAAACGTCAGTAAATGTTGACTGAAGTGGAAATCTAAGAACCTGAAAACGGTAGGAAAACAAGACATTTAGCAAAATAAACTACAATAGCATGATTTCAAATTGAACACACCTTAATAATAACCCCATTGGTTATTGATCTCCAAATAATTTTAGTTTTTTTAATACATGCAAGCCACATATGACATATAGAGCTGCCAGGGTAATTTATGCTGCTGTACGTACCCTGCATGGATCCCCAAAGTTTAAGCAAGTAAATAATCGACAAGATGCTTAGGGCAAATTCTAAGGAAATCTTATCTTATCTTTCCTGGATGATTTTCAACATCTAACATACTTACATTTTGTAATTACCACTTATTGTGATATCATTGTATATTGAAAAAAGGCAAAAAGTCCCCTTGCATGTATATTTTTACTTTGCCAAGCACAATTAATATCAGTTATAAGCTATGAAATAACTAACCTCTGTATGAATTATTCCAAACAATTTATTTGTCAACAACCAGATGTAAGGAATTACAATTCCAGATAAGAAACAGAACCAGAGGAAACGAAGGTCAAATAGGCGATAGAAAGAATCCAAACGATTAATTTGACTGAAAATAAATTTTTGCAAATATGCCTAGATTACAAATCTTTAAACATACTTGTCTTATATATGACTAACAGGGCCTAACTCGGATGACTAATACTGTCTTTATTTCCACAGTTTCACAACAGGAATAAAATTATGGACTCCTTTTGGTAAACAATGTAAAACCAATTAAAACTGGGTGCTTAACACTACCGGCTGATTTCATGTCACATCCGGAGTCGTGTATCATATAAAGGTCCCTAATATAGCTAACTGGTGACTTCATGTACAAACTTGATGTGGGTTTCCAGGTTATAAACTCTTTATTTAATTACAATTTTTAAAGCAAAATACCTATCATGGTCAAGTCCAGTAAGCAGTTGAACAATTTCGTTTGCACAAGACCCTGAAAAAAATAGTATGAAAATGAAGCATTTATATACATGCATGGATAGAGATATAAATGAAACTATTCTTAATATAAAACATGAAATCAATAAATTACTATAGCACAAAAATTATTGAATATATTTACCGAAACAAAAAAACAAAACAAAGCCAATCTGAATGCTCTAGAAATGAAAGTAAATTCAATAAAAATCTATAATAGATATTTTCAAAAATCAAGAGAGGGAAGCTTCTTTATAAATAACTATGCACGTCAGAAATTAATTACACAAAATATGTCATAGTGTCGTATCAAACACCCTAAAGCGTTGCATGCAGTGGTTGCAAGAAAACCTTTTTGCTTGTACCTTGAAAAAATGGCGGAATAGCTTGCCACAAACAAGGAACCATACATGCTTTTACTCTGAAAATCCTTTCTTGCTAAAATAAGATATTTAAAAGATACTCTTTCAGTACATGACAAAAAGTGCGGAGACTTCCCATAAAATGAAACATGTGACATTATTGTGAACCAGCTGGAGATTGAATGTGCCATTATCGTATTTTTCCCAGAAAAAAAATGCAATTTTAATGTTTTTTCTTCAATATTATACTATATCATGTTATTGTAAAGCTATTGAAAGCAGAATTTTATTATATTAATTGTACTTCTGTCTTTTCTATGCATATAGCCTTTCAATTAAAAGTAGTTGTTTCAAAACATTGAATCATGCATTCATGAGCTTTGGGTATGCATGCAGAGAGGTACTCTGAAAGCTATATGACTCCTTGCCCTTGCTTGCAAGAAAAAAATAATTGGACTCAATATAATCATAATTTATTACATCATGCTAACCTGAACAACCGGAAATATTATATGGTGATGTTTGTCTTTAAAATACAAGATTGAATAGACAACTCCCTAAACATATAAAATAAAACATTTCATTGTTTCCACTTTGTCATAATTGTTGTGAGCAAATCATTCTCACCAATGGGAAATATATATATATATATATATATATATAATTATATATATATATATATATATATATATATATTTCTTTTCCTGTATTCAAATTTGTCATTGTCGAGTGCACACCAGACTGCACATGTGTAGCAGCAACATTGTAATGTATCAACCAGACATGTTCAGGATTAAATTACATTAGGACTAAATGGAAACCAAGCTTATAATTGCTAACAAGGTTAAAACGTCGCTGGTTGTTTTCATTTAAACTTTTCAATAATAACGAAACGGTAATGGGCTTATAGACAGAAATCTTCAACACCTATCCCCTTGTTAAAATATTACATATATATTTGACATGCATACTTACCAGAACACCACCAAAGCAATGAATGAACAAAGTAGTTTCATTGAGACACAACGAGATTCTACGGTCGTAGGAACTAAATCAAGTAAATTAATGCAATTAAATTTGTCTTGAGACTTCATAATTTTAAACATATTCATTTTAATTATCTTACATGGAACAGTTGCGTGTAAATACTCCATATTCATGATATGTCATCGATGTGAGCCAATGAATTGCAAAGGAGGCAGTAATCGTCGAGAATATCAAATGAGATAAATGTTTAACAGTGAAGAATGATTTGATCACAGAGAGCCTGGTTATACCCGTTTTTATTTCAACTAAATGTGTAGAGATAATTATTGAATTAAAAATTACCTACATAATTCACAGAAAATAAGTAAATTAGAGCTTACAGAAGTTTACATACCAGAGCATATTTTTATATTAAGCAAGATCACAGGAGTAACAGCAATGCCAAAGATGACAACAAAAACAAAAATATCCCAAAATGAAAATATCCTCAACAAAACATCTACAATACAATAGCACATACAAATGATTTTAATGGTTATAGAACATTGACAAATTTCATGATAAAAATTGCATATAATAATATTACAAATAATTCATATAATCAACTAAAACAGTGTTTACGTAATTATTTTGCACCTGTGATCCAAGTGAGAGGATGTTGCAGACTAAACAAAACCAGAGTCAAATACAAAATACAGATTGCAGGTAGAAGACATATGAACCACAAGAAGCTGATACCATTTCTCCATAAGAATTCCTGCAAAAGATGAAAATCCCCCTTTTGTCAAACATTTTACAGATAAAAGTAAAAACTATGTTAGTAACAGCTAATACTATACAAATAAAATTATTACTACTTATTAACTGATTGTGTTAATTTTTCACACAGCACTCAAACCTGATACCGATACCAATTTTAAATGAAATCATAATTTAATTAATTGATCGAATATAGACGATGTCATACATTTTGAATATATTTATTATTTTTACTCAAAATCTACCAATAAGGCAAATATCGGCCTGATACCAATAACCAATTATCGGTCAATCACTAATAATTACTGGTTGGCTTTGAGCATGATTGCAAGAATTGTCAAGGAAGAGGGTGCCATTACTTATTGCAGGTTGATACAGATAATATATGCTAACCAAGGCTATGATAATTCTCAATATCACATGAGAAGTAACTTAATAATCATTTCATTAATCTAATTCTCTCTATCAATTGTAGGCATGAGCCGCATGACATCATTACTACCATTAGATGGATCTATTGGGTATTAGTAAATATGAGTCATAACTACAAATAGATAATACATACGGTAAATACAACACACTGTAGAGAACATGCGTGCTTACTTTATGAGAAAACAATATTATTTCGTCAGCCGTTGATCTCAGTTTTTTAACTTCAATCCGACGAAAATTTGTCGATGAACACATCAGCACATCATCCTCTTCTTTTGCAAAGAAGTCCATAATATATGAAAAATTGCGAGGACTCTTTTATATTATGAAGAACTTTAAAAAAGTAGTTACTCCTGTTCAAATTAACCGCATTCTGTTCGCCATCTTGGTATCTCAGATGGAATGTTCTGATTGGCTCTGACACTGAATGTGTCCAGGCCACACACAGCATCTGTGATGACAGCATCTGAGGCAATCTAATTTTGAGGCGACAGGTCGGCGTTATATGCCACAAGAAAACCAGGCTTAACCGACGGCCGCGATGGCTATTGTCGGTGATCACTGATGAACGAAGTGCTTTGTTATTTTAAATAAACTTTCTTCGTCATGCACCGGGCACAAACAATACATCGCCGACTGACGTTGAACATATGAGAAACAGTAATTAAGCTTGTAGGTACGTGGTATGTGGTGTACCCAAGCTTAATTACTTATCGATTGTCACCATGCAAACGTACAACAATATTATTATATGAGAACCAGTGTGTAAAGTTGTGTATTTTAATACAAATGTATACACAGTAAGAAAATATTTCGTGTATACAACTGCGATGACTATGCAAACAAGTATACTGCAAGGTGTTTTTTCGAATTTCTATATTCAGTTTAATACTGCAAAAATTACAAGCAACCTACGACAGTTGGACGAAATCAGCAAACTTATATTACATAACAACACGGTTACTGTAGAAGTTTCAACGACAAATGACTTTACTTTACGTTATGCACATCTGATAAATGCAATCTGGTTTTACGTACAAAGTCCAAAAGGTAATTAGGAAATATTCATTTATAGAAGGTATGGAGATTGGATTGATACTCTAGAAAGGTTTTCCGCATATGTAGAACAGGCTTCATTTATATAAAAAACATTTACGTTTTTCAAGTGATGGAATATCGCTGTCAAAAACTGACTCTTGCACACGACTGCAGAGTAATGTGTATTCAATCATCCACATCAAATACTCTCTTTAAATTGCAACCTCACTCCTCCCTAACTTAGAATTTTGATGTAACAACAGCAAAATATGCATATCATCAATCGACAGATATAATAAAAAACCACGCGTCCATGCACCAATTCGTACTGACGTTATTATTTCCATTGCTTCTTCACAGACATGTTTCGTTCAGAATCTTTCTGCATGATCTAAAGAAAAACAGTAAACCACTCAGTAAAATAAAGATTTCAATTATCAGCACCTTGTGTTGTTGAAATTCAAGAAAAAAATGTCGATCATGTTTCGACGCAGTTGCATAAAAAATGTTTAAAACCTAATAACCAAAGTCTTGCAGACATCAATAGAGCTCTCGGTTTGTTAACCCGGGCCTTCACTTCTCTAGATAGAGAATGTCTAAAACACCCTACATTTAGGGAAAAATTCTACATGCACCCATGCCATGATCTCGCAAAATGTTTTACGTAGTGTATGGAAATGCTAGGACCAGGGAAATGCTAGGACCAGGGAAATGCTAGGACCAGGAAAATGCTAGGACCAGGGAAATGCTAGGACCAGGGAAATGCTAGGACCAGGGAAATGCTAGGACCAGGGAAATGCTAGGACCAACGAGCTACATAGTGCATGACCTAACTCTGACAAAATGGAAAGCAGTCTTAAGGCGGGTATCTCCATTTAGTTCAAAATGTCGCGCGATCAATTTTTTGCGATCGCTTTCTTTTGAAACGTATTCATACAAGCTCACCTAATGGGATTAGTTCTGCTAGACTGTTTGTATTTCAAAAGAAAGCGATCGCAAAAAGCCGATTGCGCGACATTTTGCACTGAATGGAAATCCGCCTTTACGACGGTGATAAAATACCTCTGTCGGCTAACATGCATTAAAAAACAATAGACGTTCCCGGTAATTACGTCACAACTTCATTGCACGTTTTCAAGTGTCTTCGCTGAGGACCTTTTCCTAAAGTTCTTTCTAATGCATGCGTTTACGAAAGATGTTCTGCATGTGTTTAACGTGACGTAATTACCGACAGGTTTGTTACCTTAGACACGGCCATCTCAAAATCTTCTTGTGTCACATGAACTCTTCTCTCTCTTAAGGCGAACATACCTGCTTCTGTACAGACACCCTAGATTTGGGAAATAGCAGCATACAGGTCATATGACGATGTACTATATTTAATGTTAATGTAATACTTTTTGCAGCAGTGTTGGAACTTAAAAAAATTACCTTTACTTCAGCACCAGATGCTCCAGGCATCAATTCGGCAATTTTTCGAAGATTTATTCCTCTCGTTAAATTCATCTTGCGTGAGTGAATTTTCAAGATATCCAAGCGAGCCTATTATAAATATTGATGTTAATAATGTTAGATGCATGTCTGTTATTTAACAAGCTGCGAAGAAATAAATATTTTTAAAAATCTAAAGAAATCATACCTCTTCATTCGGTGCAGGAAATTCAATTTTTCGATCAATTCGGCCAGGTCGTAGTAAAGCTGCGTCCAAGATATCTATGCGATTCGTGGCCATTATAACCTACAGAGTACGAAAACTTAAGGTATAATCGCTTCGATATTTTCTCAGCCTCTCAAGTTTAACGCAATCGAAAAATCATGAACGCCAGAAGTTCCAGAACTCAACCTTGATGTTTTTGGTAGCCTCAAATCCATCTAGTTGGTTTAGCAATTCCAACATTGTTCTCTGTACTTCACTATCACCTACAAATCAAAGTTTACTGCATCACTTGCGGTCCTGCACTCAATGCTCTGGATACAGTGGTTAATAATTTAACATGACATTTAGAAAAGCTTCACGCACAAGACAATTAAATCACGAATGCACTCTGTATATTTACTACACATGCAATGAAAACATTGTCAAAAAACAAACCTGATCCACCAGATTCAATTCTTGAAGATCCGATTGAATCAATTTCATCCATGAAAATAATTGACGGAGCATGCTCTCTGTAGTCGTGTCAAATGATATAAAGTATTATCTCTTCTTCATATGTTAGCAAATTGTACTAATGTTTTATTTTGTACTTTGTTCCTTTTTCAGAATTAATTGTTAAATGTCTTTACCTGGCCATAACAAACAATTCTCGCACCATTCTAGCACCCTCTCCAATAAACTTCTGAACTAGTTCAGACCCTATATAATAATAATGATGATGAAAACTTTATTTATTATATCTATGTGTTGCATAATTACATTAATAAACTTTGATTTTTAACATCTAGTTTATCGTCGATTACTTGAATGATACATACACTGTATACATTGCAACAATCGATATTACATTCTGATCATTTATCTTAAAATTTTAATATTATTATAATAATCATAATAATAACGTGTCTAAGTTAGAGAAGTAAAAAATTCTATTAACAATAATTGCTGGTCAAGGCCTTGTTGTGGAACTAACCATTATACAAACCAACTATACAAACCATTTTCTTGGACAAATAGATTACAATTATAAGGATAAAAGAAATGAATTTCCAACCTGAGACTCTGATGAAAGTACATGCAGTATGATGAGCCACAGCTCGAGCAAGAAGAGTCTTTCCTGTGCCTGGTGGACCATACAATAGCACACCCTGAATATAAAATAAAATTGATATGTATTTTAAATCAATATTAAAATTTTGGGCTTACAGTACTTTGCCAGGCTTCCCAGTGGTGTGGTGTATTTACTTAAAATACTCTAGCGAAGCGCAATGCGATACAATGCTATTAAGTCAATCTTAAAGATTGTTAGTAGACAAAGCTGATGAGTTCTTGCCGGGACCACAGGCATGACATTTGCTCTGAAAGTTGCTTAAGAAAAACAAGTTTTCTCCCTGTCTGGTTCTATTGCTCAGCTCGCAAAGATCTAGCAAAGGCAACACAAAATTGCGCGAGAAATTTTTCTAGTTTTCTTTCTAGAGCTAATTTGTCAATATAATTTTGGGCCGCCTATGGATCTAGTGATCTTAATTTACTGGATCGTCAATGTGTACCACAAGCGCGAATTGGGTACTCCAATACAATGTTATACGATGTACGATAGATGATATAGGTACAATACTCAACAGTACCATGATGCAAATGCACTTCTTTAACACTAAAGCATTAGAATACTGTGTTCACCAATTTCTTTACAATTTGTATCACATTAAACCAGATCAATTCAATTTAATTCAATTTGATCATTCAATACATATATTCAGACTGACTAATTTAACAAGAGCTAGGGTGGGGGGGGGTGTCACACCCTTATGTATATCCCTGGCCAGCATACAGCTCAGCTGATGTTTTCGTATTATCAATATTATACTGTACAAGTTAAAACAAACCTTGGGTTGGTCGATCCCAAGTGCTTCAAATAATTCAGGATGTTTAACAGGTAGTTCAATTACCTAAAAAATTACAAACTTACATTCTACAGTAAAGCTACAAAAGTCATGGACCAACAATAACAAAACATACTTCTTTTATTTCTTTAATCTGTTTATCCAGACCACCAACCATTTCATATGTAGAGTCTGGGACTTTTTCAACCATCATCAAGCTTACTAAAGGATCAACCTTGCAATAACAAAGATATACTGTAGTATCATAACAAACATTTTGTCCACATAGCTTAGTCTTCTAATGTATGTACATATATTGTATAACTGGGAATTTGAACATACCTTGTTTGGAAGAATTTTATGTAAGGTATAACTGTCATTTCTTAAAGCAACACGAGAGTTGGCTGTGACCTGAAACAATAATAAATACTATATATTCAAGAATTATACATGTCCATTTAATATTATTACTGGGAAACAGGCTTTGCACAAAAGTATTGGATTTTCCATAAAAAACCAAATATCTTGTGTATATCTAGTGAAAGCAAAAGAGGAATACATACATCATTAATATCAATAGCTTTATCTAAATCAACCACAAACTTTCCTTCAGGATGAACCTGAAATATTAAACCAAAAAGCATCATAAATATCCTATTTGATATATGAACCAGATGTGTGTATGCAATTAAACAGAAGGGTTATGAATTCTGTTCATCACCAAAATGGTGATGGGAGGAGTTAACAATTTGACAACAAAAACTCTTTCTGGTATGACATATTACATAGATTAGCATTCATAGAGTGAGTAGCATCTAATGATGATTTTG